AGCTCAGCATTTTGTTTGACAACATAATCATAGTTTTCACATTTGTTACTGTAGTCTTCCTGAAGTTTCTTAAAGTCCTTGGCTTTTGCTTCTAATTCAGCCTTCAGGGGTTTCTGTCCTTTCCTGAGTTGATATCCTTTATATCTCAGGTCCTCAACTTCCCCTTTTAATAAATCAATTTGTTCCCGAAGAAATTTAATCGTATCTTCACATGATTGAGAACATGAAACTTCACATGAATGAGAACACGACACTTCATTGACCGGAAGGTTTGCTGAACTCATTGTTTTTCGACAATTCAAAGCGTTAAGTTCTTCAATTATATCAGCCAGACTAAGACAATTGAGATCTTTTGTCTTCTTGATGTCAGCCACGTCCATGTCCCACGATTTTGGAATTGAATTCAACAACTTTTTGTTGATCTCGGACTTAGTCAAGAAGATCCCGGCTATATTCATCTCAGTAGTGAGTGTAATAAATCGCTGCAACTGAGTTTCGAGCGTTTCTCCAGGGACATAATCGAAAAAGTTGAAATTTTGTCTTAACATATCCTGACGACTTTCTTTCATGTTTTCAACTCTCTCGTAGACCTTAAAATCAATAAAAAAAATTAAAAGCTAAAATAAAACTTAAAAGTCAAAATTAAAAAAATTAAACTCAAAAGTCAAACATGAAAAAAATCAACCTTGAAAAAGTCAAACTTGAAAAAAAAAAAAATCAAACTTGAAAGTTAAACCGAAAAGTTATTTATTTATTTATATATTATTTTTTTTTTTAAATTAAACGAAAAAATCAAGGTTTAAAGTTAAAGGTCAAACTTGAAAGTCAAAAGTTAAAATTAACAATCAAAAATAAAAACAATTATTATTATTATTATTATTATTATTATTATTATTATTATTATTATTATTATTATTTATTTTGGATGAAAAAGGAATTTAAAAATAAAAGAAATTGATTTTTTTTTTTTTTTGGTTAAAAGTGTCAAAATTCGAAATTAGGTGCGAAAATAACGGGTTATATTTTAGTTTTCGAAGGAATGGAACAAGGAGTCAGCTAAGTGAGTTGGTTAAAGCGCAGGCTTGATGACTTTGAGGTCATGAGTTCGAAACCCTGCACCTTCAAAATGGCCCACTTGTTTTTATTTGAAGCTGACTGCGGCGTAGCTGCTATCCTAGCCAAGCCGCTGAAACGAGCCGCAACTTCCGTCCACCGAGCCGATGCCGTTCTCCAAGCCGAGACCGCAAACACCGGAAACCCTAGCCGTAAACGGGAATCCGCCGCCGGCCGTAAACAGTTTCCGGCCGTGAACTCCGAGACCCTAGCTGCCACCGACGAGAAACCCTAGCCGCAAACACAAATGCCGCCGCCGGCCGTGAACTGTATCCGGCCGTAAGCTCCGGCCGTGAACTGTTTCATATTACGTGTAAATTCGACTTTGAAGCTCCAAAACTCAATCAAAAACCTCTTTTTATGAAAAACACAAAGAACAAACCCCCTTTATTTTTGCGAGATCTATCCAAAAACGCAAAAATATTTCGAAAATAAGATCAAATAATGCTCCAAATCGTGTTTACGGCCCAAGAACTCGGAGTTTACGGTCGTAATCTTGGACCGTAAACACAGAATATTCGATTTTTGGATGAAAAATAAATCCTTTTGACTGATACAACTTGGCTCTGATACCAATTGTAAGTCCCTAATTTGCCTGTGTATCAGTCAAATCCGTTTGATGGTGCGGAATCCCAATCAAACGGATGATATCAGATGAAATAAAAGAGAATGAGAAGAAGAAAAAGATGAATCTCGATTGTATTAATGATATGAATTAAAATCCGGATACACAAGATTCACACACACATAAAGCTCCCGTTTCTTTCTGGCCGTAAACTACTAGTGTTCATCAATCTCTACTCCTCACCCTAACATCTCTATTTATACATGTTGGATATGGGCTTGGTGGACATGGGCCGTAAATGGGTTTACGGTCGTAAGGTGTTTACAGCCGTAAACTCAACCGTAAAAGTGACCGTAAACTCCATAAATATTACAGAAAAATATAATTGCCCAGAAAAGTAAAGTATAAACCATATTTTGACCCAACAGCACCCTAGTCCCTTCCTTGGCCTTGGATACTAGTCTAGATCACTTCCTTGAAGTGTTTTGGACCTTAAACATCAAAAAGACCATGTCCACATAGAGTTTATGGTCGTAAACGCATAAGGAAATGGTCCTTATGCCGTAAACTCCATAAGGTCGTGCCATTGTGACCATAATGCTACCTAAGGCTTGGACTTGACCATAGAATGCTTAATCTTGACTTATAAGACCTTAAATCACTAAATGTCACTTAGTACCATGAGTTTACGGCTGTAAACTGATGGGGGAAATGACCTTAGGCCGTAAACTCCTTATGGAGTGGTCCCGGGGCCATAAACTCCAATGCCATGCCATGCAACCTTTAGATGCAACCCTTTTTTACCTATAGCACTTGACTCAAAGTGTTCCCATGTCCTAGGGTGTCTTAACTTAGTTAATTAGTTGTTAAATGACTAACTGGATACATATATGTTCTATTATATGTTATCTAGGATCATTGTGTATGTTCAAGTCTTCACTTGACACCTAGCACCTAGTCCAACACTTCCGAGCAATCCACTCACTACAGGTGAGTTCGTACCCCTTAATTAACCTTTTAAACGTTTTTAAATGCTTTTATGGGGGGGGGGGAATACAAGATAAATCATACTAGTTATTATATCAATCACATGTGATTAATAACTAGCATACAAATGGAATTTCTATAATTTAAATTGTTTTACTAAAAAATTGACTTCAAATTGTTTTATCAACAAAACTACTTGCAAATGATTATCAAACACTTTTACATGTTAAACTCTTTATAAAACTTGGTTTTAGTTTACAAATCTTTACTCTCAATTCTTTAAAATCTATTATTGTCAAATCATTTCCGATATGCATAGTTATATAAATAAGGTTTAAAGGAACTAGGACTGATAATACACTCTATTTCTTCTTACTTATTTGGTTGTGGACTTAGAGTACCCTATTGTTTGTTCGAGTGTTGTTTGATCCTTAGTTATATATCATGTGTATATGTATAGACATAAAATCTTGTTATCTTATTTCAGTATACTCATATATACATCCAACATTACTATTAAACTATAATAGGTATACTTTAGAGTTATATATACTACATACTATTGCTAGTACAAAGAATCATACAAAGAGTCAGTTCATACATGAGTCACTACACACTATAAACAATACATACATTACACTATACAACTGAACATACTATGAAGAAAATCAAAGAGAACATACACTAGTACTATTCATACACACTATATACTATATTAGAGAACATACTATGATGAGAATCAGGGAAGACATACACTACTCTAATACATACACTACATACACACTATTACATAAATGTGAGGCACTACTTCGGGGCATGGCATCGCTGTCATGGCTCGTCTTGTATCCAGAGTCTCCTGGAGGGAGAGAGTGAATTTGTGTATAGATCTATACTGGACTGACCGTCCTACACCTTGCTGCTAGCTACAGTAGGACCTGCAGGTCTATGGGTGATGAATGTCATAACATTTCGATGTCTTATATCATCGTGTTTTACTAGGTCGATCAAGTATGGTTACAGTTATATCACATTATACCTTAATTAACAATTGGATTAAGGTAGTTAGTACAATAGTAGTTATAATATTGTTATACTACAATACTTCATTATTTTCCCCTTTACATCTACTTTGTGATCTCCTCACAATAAAGAGTAATGTAAAAACTATATTTTCACTAATTACAGTCACGTTTTGGGAAAATACTCACTTTTAGAAAGAACAAACATACAGTACACTTGATGCCTTGGTAGAAGGCTACTTTTATTGGAAATATAGGCTTTTCTAAGAGATATAAACGATTACTACAAACATTTTACATACTTTTACACTCAAACTCTTATAAACATTTTCATACAAATTATGACACTAAATACTTATGAACTCACCAGCTTTAATGTTGATAAACTCTTTCAAAAATAACTTGTATTCTCAGTTCATCAGTAGACAGGTACCAATGCCATCTTTTGAGAAGATGGAGCACATACAAGACTCATCTTTTATTTTGATTCATATTTTGGTGTCTTATAAACCACAAGACACACTTTTATTAAAATCATATATTTAATGCAATGGATGATTTTGTTTACTTATTTACTATTATGCCGTGTTGTGATACTATACTTGACATCCTCCGCCCCAGAACGTTTTCGCCGTTCTTGGTTTTGGGGTGTGACAAAAGTCAACTTCGTGATTATGTAATCAACATGAAAAAGATATCATTATATTGTGATTCACAAAGTTAATACACATCTGCCATAATATGGTGCAACATTTGAAGATAAAGCATATTGCACTCAAATATCATTTCATCAAGGATCATGCCGAGAATGGAAATATAGTGGTTCACTTTGTAAAGACAACGGTTAAACTTGCTGGCATTTTTACAAAGCCTTTGGATGAGAAATATTTTCTAAGGATCTTGTATTGATTATGAATGATCGATGCAAATGTTGTTCCAAGCTTATCCTTAACATGAAATAACGAGGAGTCGAAATACCGCTAAAGGATTCTGATGAAATAAAATAACTTGGATCGATAGATTCTATAAATGTTAGTGAATAATCAACAAGAAAAATGAAGATCAAATAGTGCCAAATACTGATATTGAATAGCTTTAGAAGAGTTCAATGTGAACATCTCTGGGAAAGCAGGGTAGGGCAATACAATCGTTAACCCTAATAGTTACATGCATGCACATTAAATAGTCTAACCCTAGAAGTAATAAACACGGATGGACAAGCCCAAACCGGTGTACATAAGACAATAATACAATTTACAGAACACATAATAAGCCTAATATCCTCCCCCGTTGTGATAATTTGTGAAGGAGATTCTTCATTGTTGTTGCCTCTTCTGAACCGTGAAAGGTTTTGACATCACATTCAAAAGGGTGTTTCTGACTGCAATATACCACTTGATCATTTCGGAAAAGCATTTATGATCCACAACATCATTCGTTTTAACAGTTTCATTCAATCCTATGATGTAAGTCAGATCCGAAGTTGAGTATAAGTTGTTGTACAGCATGAAAAACATACACCTATGAACAGTGTGATTAGTTCTCTGTTGGTATACCAAGCTCAAATTTTCCTTTTTGATTTTTCCCAGCTTCAACTTGTTGAGATCCTTCGATTCCTCCTCAATTTTATGCATCAACTTGTTTTTCAGTACAAACGCGATTTCCACATCCATCTTTGCAAAATCATGGATGTAGCAAACTAGCAACCTCTTCAGATGAGTTGTGTTTGGCTCATAGTTTTGTTCATCCTTTGACAAAATCAGAAACAAACAGATCCAATCATGTGGATTCATGCATGGCAGATCAACCAGTGTAAAATCATCTTCAGTGTGTTTAGCTCCTATGAAACCTTTGAATTTGATGTTTATAAAGTTTTCAGTCGGAATAGGAGCATAAACCTTCACCGTAACAATCTTCTACAAGTCCTTTTCTAATACCGTCTATGTCGTAGCGTTAAAACCAAAAAAAGATTTGTTGTTTTCTTGATTTTTTCTCACGTTTTCGATAAAATCCTCTCGTAAAAGTAATTTAACAATACTTTGGCTGATATTAGTAGATGCTACTCGAACCACGCTTTTTCTATAAATATTGGCATTTCATATAGAGGTTACTCCAAGATTTGTATTGAGGTTTTCCATACTTGAGATAGAAAGAGAAGAGCGTGTTATTCACATCATAATCCGAGAGGTGTTCCCTCTCAATCTTCTAAAAGTATCGGAATAGAAAAGCCCTAGGAGTGATTGGAAAGTCAAGTAGAGAGTCAGTAGTGCTATCTGGTTCGAATGATACTGAAGACTCAAACCAACGTGTGCTTGGTTCATCAACCGCCTCCTTCTGAATCCTTTCCATAGGCCATGGAGGAAAGAGGGTTATCAGAGTTACTAGAGTGACCTTCGCAATCTCAGCTTCCATCTCTTGATCTTCCAACTCTTTGCGAACTCTCGAGAGATTATCAAGTTCAACATCATGTTTCTTTCTTATGAGCTTTTCACGTTTGGATAATTCTTCCTCTTCTTCTTCATCATCAACAACTTTCTTTTTGCCTTCAGATCCCGAAGCTTCATTACCATTCTAATCCTTAGTGTTTGTTTTTGGTTTTGGTTTTAGTTTTTGCTCATATTCATCAATTGGTTTGGAAGGCTTTTGCTTAGGCTATTTCTCTTTGTGTTCTCCCCCTTGTTTCAGAAGAGCATCACTCACCGAAACATCTTCAATCTTGTTGAGCATTGAAAAGACTAGTTTGAGTTTATCAGCAAGATTTTGTCATACCGAGATAGAGAGCAATGAATCACGTCTACCTCCAGATAATGATTAACATCCAAAACACAACTTTTAACTATAGCCTTCTCATATTCCAAAACATGCAAATGCTTGTTGTAATAATTCAACATTAGCGAAAGGACCTTAGTTTTTTCAGTCTTTTGAGCTAGTTGGTCCATAAGTTTGTTTTCTACTATAAGACCGGACTGAAGTTTCTCAATCTTAGACTCAATAACGATGTTGAGCTCAAAATCGGCAACTTTGCTGACTACTGCGGTGTTTTCATCACACAAGATCTGGTAATAGGATCCTCCTCCCCGAAAGATTCTAGGGTTCCAGAAGTCTTGAGCTTTTCATGCTGTGAATAGCTATTGACATGGAACAACCTCATATCCTACGTTGTTATTCCAAGTATCTGCTAAAATAGCACAGCCAACTCATTCTGTTATTCCAAGTATCTGCTAAAATAGTGCAACCAACTCACTACCATGCATCATAGGCTCTTCTAGTCTAACGCCTACTCCATGTATCATTTGATTTTTAAGTTTTTAGGGTTTTGTACTAGGACTCGACGAGTTGCGGAGCCCAACTCGATGAGTAGATATCAATTTTTGATGCGGGACTTAGGATCTACTGGACGAGTTGGAAGGCCCCAACTTGATGAGTAGACACTGTAAAGGAAAACCCTAATTTTCAGGGGTTTGTACCATATTTAAGGAACTTATGGTTCATTTGTGGCCTCCCTCATCATCCTATCTTTTTAGAGAGAAACCCTAGCCGCGCTTTAGTGCCTTCTTGAGTGTGTGTGAGCTTTGGGGAGTGAATCTTGTGCTTTTTGAAAGGAAACTGGGAGGTTGAAGAGATTGAAGTAAGGAGAGGGATTTAGATCCGGCATCTACCTAGTGTTAGCATCCATTTGGAGGTAAAAAGTTGCTACCTTGCTCTCTATTTTCTTAGATCTCATCTTATGGAAGAATATGGTCACTTTTTGTATAAAAGGGTATCATAGTCGGATTTGGACTTATCATGAGTATATGGTTCCAGATCTGGACACCTATAGGTGTTTATAGACATAAATATGCTCCCTTTTACCTAGTCTAGGACCTTTTCCATGTTCTAAACATTATAAAAAACCTAGTTTTAGTGTTTCAGACATTTGAGGCCATGCATGCATGTAAAGTTTGCAACTTTACTTGGTATTTCGGTCTTAAGGGACGAGATCTATTGTTTAGAGGTTTGGATTCAACTGCAAGGACTGACTATGTTGAGGCAAGGGAAAACTCGTCGAGTTGCCCTGGCAACTTGACGACCTGGATTGGGTTTCCTCACCTTCTAAATATTGAGTGAACTCACCGACTTAATGAGACAACTTGATGAGTTGGCTAGGGACTAGATCTGTAGTTTAGAGGTTTGGATTCGACTGGAAGGACTGATTATGTTGAGGCAATGGAAAACTCATCGATTTTCCATGGTGACTCGACGACTTGGATCGGGTTTCGCCACCTTCTGTATATTGAGTGAACTCGTTGAGTTGATAAGACAACTCAACGAGTTAGCTAGGGTTTGTCTCGGTTTTCTGGACTCTGAAGGAACTCGACGAGTTGCTAGATGCACTCGACGAGTTGGGGTTAACATGGATTGTTGACCTTAACTGTTGACTTGGAATTTGACTAGGGTTGACCAAGTTTGTCTTAGAGTTTATTTATGGTATTTTGGGATTTTGACAAGTTAACCACATGATGGTTATAGGCAGCTGAGTTGGAGCTGTGTGTTAGGACTTATCCGATCTTATGTTATCAGTTCAGGATTTTGAGAAGTTGAGTCTCCTCACCATACAAATAGGTCTAAGGCACCAAGCCCGACCCATTATTTGTTATGTGACATGCTAGTTGGTTATGGGATATGTGGTATGCTAGTTATTTGTGATACTCGCATGAAAGACCTCAGGGGGGGGGGGTTCCCGACGCACTTATGTGTAAGACATTGGAGGGTTTCCATGGCATCCTAGTATATTTGCGTGTGTAGCTTGTATGTTATTTCTTGGCAGCAAAGACCGTGTGGGGGTTCCCACGGCGGGCATACCATGTGGGGTTTCCCATGGCAGGAAGACCATTTAGGCGTTCCCATGGTAGGAAGACCATGTGGGGGTTCCCATGGCAGGTAGCTAAGACCACGTGGGGCTTCTAGTGGCATTAGATGTATGACATTGGAGAGTTTCCATGGAATCCTTATATGTTGTATGCATGGCTTATGAGGTTTATGTAGCTTTTATTGTTGATATGGTATATGTGATCATGTGGACTGTGTGGGGTATGCTCTGGAGAACTAACTAAGCATTAGCTTATAGTTTGTGGAATTGCTTCATGTACATCTGAGCCTAAGGGAAAGGGCAAGGCTTGATGGCACGACATGCACTCTTCGGAAATTATTTTGATAGGACACTCTGATGTTTGAAATAAATTGTTGATGTTATGGATTTTGAAAATGTTTGTCATTGAAATTTCATACTTTATGAGAATGTTTTGTTTCATTAAATATGAAAATTTTCTTTTAAAAATTTGGGTTGTTACAAGTTGGTATCAGAGCCTTGGTTTCACGGATTTGGGCATGCTCTCGGGTGTGTCAGGACTCAAACGATGGAAATGGTAAAAATGTTTTCAAAATTCAAAAGTTAAGAACTTCTAAAAATGGAAAAAGAAGAGAGTGCAATGCGTGTGAATGGCCGAGCTCAAGTAAGTGGTTCCCCAATATCTCTTCCATGTTATATTGATATTTGGATTATAATAGTCGGATGGGTTTTGCTATGCGTATGCTTTTAAAGTTGTATATGGTTAAGAGCTTATAGCCTTAGAATGATTGATTTGGCCTTATTTCCTGTTCCTTGTTTGGTTGTGGTCCTAGGGTAGAATCTATTATTTGAAAGTCTATTTGATCCTTTTCTGTGTATAATTTCCATGCATAAAGGCAACTTGTTATGATTTGTCTGATTTCTAGTTTGATGTTGATGGAGAAAATCTTATGATAGCCTAGGATTGGAGCTATGCAGTAGCTATGATATGTGTTTTGGGACGAATTGGAGTTATCTGGTAAAGCTTTGGGGAAGGTACAAGTAGGTGTGGAAGGTAGTATTAGGCCCGTACTACTGAATGCACAAGACCTGTACCCGAACTGATGTTAGATCTAGAAGGTCTAAGTAGAACCGGTGTGGGAGGATCCTATTTTGATTATCTTGATCATTCTGTCTTATCAGGATGGTGGTGATGAAATTTGTAGCAGGGGGATCAGGATCGGGATCAGCATCCGGATCAAGGTCGGGCGACGCTACTGAGCCCATTGATGAGAGGCTACACGATCTCATTGCAGCTGAAGTTACAAAGGGAAAACTTAACGCTACCCTAGTGATTTTTGGGACGGTCAAGGAAGGGATGATGGAGATTATGGAGGAGAGGCTTAGGTTATTCAGATTCAAGATTATTGCAGGCCAGGTCGGGCCCGAACAACCTCGTTTTGGGAGTTCAAGGTGTGTGGGGCATTAGAGTTCTTTGGGGTCAGGGACCCCCATAGTTAGCCAATGCTGGGTGGCGGGCATGGAGACTGCCCAGTGCATGAGTTCTTTCCCTGATGCAGCAAAGGTGGGTTTTGCCTCGTGTATGTTTAGGGGTCGAGCCCAAGATTGGAGGGGAGAGGTGACTAGATAGGTGGGGGCAGCCGATGTGGCTGAGATGACATGGGAAAAGTTTGTCACACGCTTTGACCTAGAATTTGCACCACCTATTCAGGTGCATCGGTTAGTGCGGGAGTTTCAGGAGCTCCATTAGACCACCGAGACTATGGCGGAGATCACCGCCCAGTTTTGGGAACGAGCACTATTGATTCTGCAGTATGCTGCGGATGAGGATATGAGAAGTTCGAGATATCATTCCTTGCTGAGGGATGATATTCATGAGTTCATGAGATTTAAAGGGTGAAACACCCTGAACGAGATGGTGGAGAAGGCTCGTGAACGGGAGATGGAGTTGGAGTTCCGCACCAAGAGGAAGCCCAAGCAGGCACAGACAACAGTAAGTCAGGCTAGTAAGCCTAAGACCTTGGATTCATCTAGTAAGGGACAACAAGTTCGTGGCCGGTGTGCCAAGTGTGGGAGATCTCACGGTGGAGCTTGTTGGGGGATGGGCCCGGTATGTTATATGTGTGGTCAGCCAGGCCACGTGAGTAGGGATTACCCTGAGAAGGACTTGATTTGTTTCCACTGCAACCAGACTGGACATAAAAGCCCAATTACCTGAGGTTGCAAGGAGGAGGAGGAGCACTGGTGGTTCCTACTCCAGCCACATTGAAGACCACTGATAACCGCTGCTAAGGCGGATGCTCCAACGGTGAAGAGTCACGCATTTCAATTGACTACCGAGGAGGCTCGGGCAGCGACAAACATCGTGGCTGGTATGTGTTTTATTTTTCCTGCTTGATATTGATTTGTATTGCTTATGTGCATATATGCTCTCATGAATGGGGACCTTTTTTTGTCAATGTTATGTCGGATCACATTCTATTCGACTCGGGTGCTATCCGATCATCTGTATCTCTTGCGCTTAGCAAGAAGTTCTAGGATGCGCTGGGGATTTTGGATTCCGCGCTTGAGGTTGAGATTGCAGATGACTGCACTGTGAGTGTTGTGCGGGTGTATCGGGACTGTGTCATGAATGTGCTTGGGGAGAGGTTTCGCATTGATCTCGTCCCGATACCGTTGTGAGGGTTGAAGGTAATCGTCAAGATGGACTGGTTGGGGGCCAATGGGGCCATGATCGATTACAAGTGCCAGCTGGTGAGGGTTCAAACCCAAGTGGGGGACAACTGGTTATTCATGGAGAGAGGGTCTTGTAGGGACCAACCCTCTGTTCAGCTATGACGGTCAGGAGACTTCTTTAGCACGGTTGTTCGGGATTTTTGGCATAAATCTTGGATACGAG